TTGTTTACTTTATTAAACATTTCTTTCAAACGCGCGCATGCGTAAAGCATACATTACGCATAGTCGAAATTAGAAAATTGCAACCAGAAAACTATTTGATTTGTATTCGTGATATTTATAATGACGAGGAATTTGATTTAAATCATATCAAAGACGGAGTACATCGAGATGAAATACTACATTTAATAAGGAATTATAAGCCGAATAAAATAAAAAACATCTGCCCTGAAGATAACGATAGTGCTGACAGATCAACTTCCAGTTCATTGCGCGCCGTGACGTCCCCCCCCCGCGCAGAGCAGCGTGAAATTGATAAACAGATTTCGGAATGGTTAGAGAAACAAAGGATATGCCTTTATCCATTTTTTTGCAGCAATTCCACTTTTTGTTTGATGGACATCGAAACATACTTTCGTTTTGTAGATCCTTTGGCAGCTCCAGCATCGGAAATTCTATTTGACATAATCGAAAGTTCAAGCTTACTTTTATAAAATTGCTCTAACAGTCTGCAAAAAATAATAAGCCGGATCCAATTAGAAGATTAAGGAACAACTCAATCTGCAACATTAACTGAAATAGATAATTAGATAATTTTAGCTTAGCTTATACAGTTCATTATACATTAAACGCGCATGAGTAAACGTATTATGCTCAAGTGTAAACGCATATGCACGTGCGCAGAAAGTTTGTAGCTTTGAGGGTCCGGATTAAAGACTTTTGACTGTGTTATTTTTTTAAAAAAATTTTTTTGTAAAGAAAACAAGAGAATTTTCACGATTGTCAAAAAGATTTTTTTAAATAATGAATGAACTTTAAATAGTAACTAATTAATATCTGAAAGTTCAGCTACTAATTCTTAAATGCAAAATAGTACAAAAATAATTATATGTAAAAAAAACATATTTATTATTTGCATCTTTTAATAGAAAAAGCTACTTTTATCAGTTTTCGTATAATTGCTAAGCACATAGGCAGACTTTGCTTTAATTAATAAACTTTATAATTTTATAAAAAGCAATCACCACATAGGCCTGCTTTCGCCAATAAAATTTCTCAGTACGGCATTACTAATATTGGATCTTAATTTAGTCCTTATTTTAGTAACAACATTGAAAATCCTCAAGGACTTATAGCATTATTATAGGGAATTGCTGGGATGTCCAACATCATTCTAGACAGTTCACTGTATTTTAAAATTGCATCAGCACCTTTCAGTTTTCCAATTAAACTCTTCTAGGTGTCAACAGGGTTGCCACTCAAACAGGAGAATGAAATTCCCTGACTTTTCCAGGTTTCCCAGGTGTGTTTCAAGAAAATTCCAGTCTATCCACGTAATGTACATTGGCTGTGCTAAGAGGTAAATTAATTATGGTATTACTTGCATTGTGTAGCAAATTCACTTAATTATTCAATAAGTCCCAGAGGACATTTATTCTTAATTATCTTGGTATACTTTGTTTGATAATTTTGTTTAGTTTTCCACTTAAGAAACTTAATAAAATTTAAGATATATATATTGGATAACAAATGTATGTTTTATTTAATTATTACTCATGATCATCACCAGTTCAACATGAGGCTAATCCGGTCCTTATAAATCACAACGCAATGCTAAATAGTTAGGTTAGATTTTAGGTAAATTTAATTTGCGTGAGGTATGTTCTTAAAAGGCACCTTAACACTTGAAAACACAAATATAATTATAATAGTTGTTGTTTTCTCCACTGAAGATTGAGATTAGAATCTTCCCAATCTGGAATAAATAAGGCTTTTTTTGCAGACACTCTGCAGCTAAACGAAAGAAAGAAATCTATTTTAATAAATTGAGGTATTTTATTTATTTCGCAGCATACATAAGCAAAAAATATGTGCATTAAATTTTCGTGATGGTATGTCATCATACTGCTATAATTAATTTCAGGATTATGCCAGAGAAAATTACCTGAAATTTGTAAACATATATTTAAAACTAATAATCAATAAATTTAGAGGGAAGAAGCAACATTAAATTATATGAATAACATAAAAAAATAATTACTTAAAAATTGAATTAGAATAATCAACGATATTTTAGCGAATATAGTTATATTACATGGCTAGCCTAGAAGACTGATTACTATTTTTTTATTTTACTGCAAAATGGCAAGGTATTTATTAAAAAGAAAAAAAAAAAAGGTTTAAAAAGATTTTGCGGTAAAATTCTAGTATACGGTAAGGCTTTGGCACGATTTTGAAAATTGTCGCCAAGACCAAAATGACCCGTTTACTGCGCATCAAGATGTCGCCAAATCCCATTATTATTCTAACCAAAGAACATCTATGTAAAGAAGAAAAGGTTCCATACAAGTAAAATGCTATTACGCCGCTAGAATGCGGAGGAAAATTTGCCAAGGGATTGCGACGGAACCTGGCGGCCAGAATTTCCCTCTCCACGATGTGTACAGGAAATGAGAAACACGTGTTAAGAAGAAACGCTCTTTAACAAAAAAGAAAACTACGAAAATCCGTTTTTTAAATTATTGCGAAAAATCCAAGAAGAAATGTTTTATCAAAGGACGTTTCTTCTTGGATTTTTCGCAATAATTTTAAAAACGGATTTTCGTAGTTTTTTTTTTTTCTTTTCTTCCCTGAAAATAACTAATCCATGAATTAATTACTTGCGCCAAAAAATATTTTCTTTTCTTTAGAGTTTAACCACTTGCGCTAAGACTAAACTTCACAGTTGCGGTGCCGTGCGCTACATATAACAAGTTGTAAGGTGTCTCATTTACGCGTCCGCATCTGCGAGTGCAATCCAGAGCTGTAACTCGAGAAATAAAACAATCTCGTTGTTAGGCGAAACGTTTGCACCACGTTATTTCATTTTGCGATAAATGCTTATTGACGTGGTGTTCACGTCGCTCGCGGTTTGAGACAAAAGCATCTTGACGTGCGTGGCACGTCTTTTTAGCGCAAGTGGTTAAAGAAATTTTAAACGATATTCATTTTATGAACTCTTGATAACGTGACCTTCGAACTTCGACACCGGTTTCGAGCTTTGGCGACAGATATATCAGACATGCACAGCTGTTTTCCTATATGATGGAACAGAGCCACAGCCACATCTGTTGCAGAGAGGTTTTCCTTCTTTACAATACATATTCTTTGATTCTAACCTCCATGGTACCGTATACTAGGATTAAACCCATTTTGTTTTATACGAGAACAGGGACTTTCTTTAGTTCATGCACTGCACATGCGATTCTCGAGAATATTTGGAAACCAACAGTTGCGGGAAAGTTGCTTTGCCTTTCTAAAAGACAATTAAATTGGAGCTGCGAAAATTGGCTCTATGCCAGCTACCCGAATGTCACTCAAGTGATACATAATTCGCCAAAAAAGTTACCTCTTCCGACGTCGGCGCAAAAATCGCTTTTTTTGGCGGGATCGTTGTATGAACTTCCCTGACTTTTCCAGATTTTGACAAAAATACTTAAATTCCCTGACTTTTCCCTGAATATTTTGGTCAATTTTCTAATTCCCTGACTTTTCCTGGTTTTCCAGGTAGTGTGGCAACCCTGTGTCAATCCTTGCTGGTTTTGTAGCATTTTAATAATAAATATCAACGATGTGTTTGTGAAAACTTATCGGTAAGGAAGTTACCCCTTTGTCAGCAGCTAAATTTTAAATGTGACAGGTGCAGCCTCATAACTTGCAAATCTGAATTTTGCTTTTTTAAGAAGCCTGCGACACCAATCTTCAAGCTTACCATTACTGGTGCACAGTCAGCACCAAGTACTCAGCAATCATCCAGAGAAATCGGAATTTTCTTTCAAAGTTTTAATAATTAGCTGTGCTATAATAAAGCCTATCAAATCTCTTTCTAAAGTGGTAAACTACAAAAAAAGTAAACTACACTCCTTTTTGAAAACTCTAAATTTAAAATAAAAAAAAATATATATTAGATATAGATTTTGAATCATTATTACTGCTTATATCCACAGAGAGTCAGAATGGAGCTGTTTTAATGCAATCAATAACTGAAGATTTATATTTCATACCCATTGCTTTAACAATTGCAGTAATTTTTGTCCTTCTACTTTGGTATTTTAGCGATTTCACTATCAGGATACATTTTTCTAAATAAAGCATGATCAGATGCATTCAATGGCAGATATATGCCATATGACCTAAAGTTGTGCTTGATGCTCAATGGAGAACTGGAGCATGACTTTTCAGACACATATGCTCTTACATGAAAAGCAGAAGCATGGCAATGTTTCACTGATAAAGCAACTTTGGCTTCCTTTTATGCATAACGTAGAGAAAAACCAAGGGCTTTCAGACATCAAAAATTATTTTTTGGTATAAAAATTACTTTTTTGTGTATATTTGGAAGTATTAATCTGCATAATCAAGAATAAGAAAAGTTGAGAGAAATATGCTGCAAATTGGGCTGGCCGAAGTATGGTCAGAAATCAGGAATCTCATGTTTAAATCAGGAGAACTGGCAACTCTCGATTTTTCAAATTTTATAAAAAGACTATTATAAAATTACATAGGTTATTTCAAGGACTGTTGAACGTAAAGTTTAGTACATTCAGTACCTACAGGGATTACTCATTACAACATCCTTTAGAACATGTGAGATAGTTATATGAAGCATCAACAGTATATTTATGTTTTCATAGCCTAATAAACATAAGAAAATTTCCAAATTCTTAATTTTTCAGTATACATTAAAATTATAAAAATATCAATATTTTAACTTCCGCAACACTGTTTTTATTTAAAAGCATATTTAGCAATTATTTTACTTAATAAACAACATTAAAATATAATCTGTGGTAAGAAACTGGTTATTTAAATATTCGCTTGTAATAAAATTAAATTATTCTGAATAAATTTCTCAAAAATTTTTGAGAAATTAAAAATGCTCAAATTATAAATATTAAATAGAACGAATCCTAAACACATAACTACTTTAAAATCACACTATATCTTATAATCAAATGCTATACCTGTGTAAACAATGACGGGGAAATTCCACCTCCGATGGAACTCGTTGGAACGCTTGCTTGAATTCTAGATGTTGTTCGGCTGTTTGGACTATTTCCTGAATTCTGTAAGTTACCTGAGCAAGTATAAGTTTTCGGTAATTTTCATCAAAAAGTATTCGGAAATTCTAAATATAAATTTTTACACAGTATACAATGAACAAAAAATTTTACAAACACAAATGTTTCAATGAATATCTAACGTACCAGTTGTAGCTGGTATTATTCAACCCTGTTTAAGAGTTATGTTTTGAAAATAAGTTCTAGCATTTTGTAAATATACTGCTTCCAAACTTTGAAAATATCTGCAATTAAAGTGTTTTTTCATATCAAATCCGTAGTTATCTTCAAATCTTTTTAAATTCTGGCATCTGTGACAGAACTATGGATAATTTAAAACGGGAAAGAACACAACTACGGCAATATTTTACAACTTCTTTGAAAGAAGTGGAAACTGTTTTAAAAGATGATGCAGTAAGTAAGATTATTTGATATCTGCATTTAATATTTTTAATGACAAAGCTGACAGATTATTTCAATTAGATGAAAAAATTAAAAGTAACATGGCTAGAAATGGAAAACTTTAAGGGACATGGATTTAACGGAAAACTATCGAAAACAGTGGGTTGCTATGAAAATGAAAGTTGATTTAATGTTATCAACCACTGAAAGAAAGGGCGATATTTCCAGTGTAGTAAATGAAACTAAGCGAAATTTCAGTCTTCTTAAAAGGGTTGCCACTCAAAGAGGAGAATGAAATACCCTGACTTTTCTAGGTTTTCCAGGCGTGTTTTGAGAAAATTCCAGTCATCTGCATAGTGCGCATTGGCTGCACTGAGAGGTAAATTAATTATGGTACCACTTGAAAACACAAAAATTTGCCAATTGCATATGACTTATTATATATATAATCCAAACTATTATAGCAATAATAGGAGTTGTTTTCTCCACTGAAAATTGAGATTAGAATCTGCCCAATCTGGATTAATAAATAAGTTTTTTTACAGACATTTTGCAGCTAAACGAAAGAAAGAAATCTATTTCATAATATTTTTAAATAAATTCAGGTATTTTATATTTATTTAGCAGCATACATAAGCAAAAATATGTGCATTAAATTTCGTGATAGAATGTCATCATAGTACTAGATTTAGTTTCAGAAATACACCAGAGAAAGTTGCCTGAAATTTGAAAGTATTATTAACTAATAATAAATAAATTTAGAGGAAAGAAGAACATAAAAAGATATAAATAACATTAAAATGAAGTTAATTGTTTAAAAATTGAATTACAATAATCAATGATATTTTGGCGAATATAGTCATATTAAACGTTTAGCCTAAATGACTGATTACTATTTTTTTTATTTTACTGCAAAATGAAAAATAAGGCATTTATTAAAATGGGAAAAAAAAGAAGTTTAACCCTCCAACTGCTCAATTTATAGACTGAAATTGCTTCAAAATTCCCCCCCCCCTATTTTAAATCTACATATATTGGAGAATTGAAAAATGCATTTTTCCTTTCTAGAAAATATTTTTTCATATAGATTTTTTATGAGAAACTATGTTGCCAATCAAAATTTCGAATGTTTGCCAAAAAATCAAAATTTAATTTTTTTTAATTTCAGTAAACAATTTAAATTATTTAAAAATATAAAAAATAAATAAAATTTAAGAAAATATAAAGCACTGAGGAAAAAATATCTTAGAAATGCAGTTTAGTATGATAAGAGTTCAAAACAGGGTTCAAGGCAAAGTCTTTGCACCAGATCCTCGAGTAAGTTTGGAATGATGCAGCCATGATGTAATAAAACCGATAGGCTCTAATTTTCCAACACAAATTTTGTAGCCTTTAACATTTCTCAAAGGAATTTCATTTTAAAAAATCGTTTGACCAATAAGATAATTATTTTTGTTTTTTAAAACCGTCAGGTATACTGATGATGATTTTGCACTATATAATTTTGAGATAATAAAAACACAATTTTTATCTTACAAACTCTGCACTAAATAACATTAATACCACTCATAAAGATACTAACTTTCTGGATTTGTGCTTTATTATTTACAACAAAATGCGACTTTATTGATAAAAGAAGAAATTTTAATTCCGTCGCAATTAAATTTAATAACTGGAATTCAAACCTCTAAAAACACCATAGTTAGCACTATTCGTAATCAAATACTTAAAATATTTACACAGAAGTCAGTTACTTAAAAGAAGAGGTCCACTTATTAGTCAACACCCTAATTAAAAGTATAATACCTATTGATTCAATTAACTTATTTCTTATAAAAGCAGGCATTAACTACTACAGTCAAAAGTCATTAATCCGGACTCGTCGGGACTTCGGCGATTCCGGATTATCGATTTTTCCGGATTATAGATCATCAGTTTAAATCTCGTAAGATGGCATGCAGAAATTCTAAAATTAAAAATATGAAACCTTAATTTATGAAATAAAGAACAATTATAATCTAAAGGGTATCAAAATTTACAAAAAAAAAAAAAAAAAAGCTTAATATTTATTTGTTTACTTTATTAAACATTTCTTTCAATGTAAGTTGTTTTAAGTTGCTTCGTTTTATGTGATAATACTTTCTCTTTAATTCTATAAACAGACACGATTTCTTGTTCAGTTACAAAGTTCTGCTGTTCAAGTCCCGTTAATTGTTGTGCCGAGAATACCGACTAACTTGTCAATCGAAATTTTTTCGTTTTCACTAACCTCTCTGTCACATTCTTCAATGTCTTTATCCATTTTTTGCAGCAATTCCACTTTTTGTTTGATGGACATCGAAACATACTTTCGTTTTGTACAATCCTTTGGGAGCTCCAGAAACGGAAATTCTATTTGACATAATCGAAAGTTCAAGTTTACTTTTATAAAATTGCTCTTACAGTCTGCAAAAAATAATAAACCAGATCCAATTCGAAGATTAAGAAAACAACGCAATCATCAACATTAACTGAAATAGATAATTTTAGATTATACTGTCCGTTATACATAAAACGCGCACGCGAAAACGTATTCTGCGCTTGCGCAAACTCATATGCGCAGTGGTAAAAGGTCTTACGTGCACGCGTAAACGCTTATGCGCATGTGTCAACGCGGCGCACGCACAAGTTTTTAGCTTTGAGGTCTGGATTATGGGTGTCCGAATTAACGACTTTTGACTGTATCTAATTTCTATTTGATTATGTAATTTTTGTGTTATTTCAAGAGAATAAAGCAGGATAAAGTAACTAAAAGTAGGTATATGTAAGTAATGTATTTATGTTTTATCATTCATGTCTATAGTTTCAATACATATTTCTGGTTTCTCAAATGTTAATAATGATGACTTATAGTTTCGTAAAGACACAACAGTAGCCAATTCTTCATAACAACTATCTTTTATCCTGCTATTTTCATTTTCTTTAACTTTAGTCGGAAGATATTTAAATTTTACTCTTTGTCCTACATTAGTAGACATTTTATATATTTTCCAGCTTCCTCATGAAATTTTACAATCTCTTACTGTAACTCTAAACCTTAATCACAGGTAGCACACATTCTTTGTTATATAGTCAATCACATTCTATTAATTTCTTGCCAATTTTGTAATCAAAGCTTTTACTTCACGACCTAGGCTACTTTTTTAGAATCGTATTACTACATATAAATGCTTAGATCGCTATTTTGAGCTTTTTTGCTGCATTCTGTAGTTTTTATTTGCTTTTGAAAACTGAATTTTGCAATTACTTTGAGAATGAGGTTAGCAAAACATTTTAATGGTTTTTACTTCCTTGTACTAAGTAAAGGAAGTACTGTAATCATAAAAATTTCAGGTATCATATTTCAATGAAAATATCCATTTTGACCGCTTTCAAATCCATATGAATGATCTTTTTACATTGTACGTAGTAGAAATGTTGCTTGGCGTAGTCTATATTGAAGTCTTTGCACAAGATCCAATAAATCTAATTAATGATTCAATAATTTAATTAAATACTTAAAACAATTGCTGAATGTTTTCTAGCAGCCATTTCTGCAAGAAAAAAGCAGCAAAAGTGGAGTTTGAGCAATAATACCATGTGCCTTCAAATGAAGCAATTTAGTAACAATTAACGATATATGTAGCCAAAGCGTAAACTAAACATCTAATACTGTATATAATTTATTTCAGTGGTTAAACGGGAAAAGAATGGGATGCACTCCTCAATCAAGAAAATCACAGATTCCGCAGGGTGAGCAGATATTTTGCTACATTTGAGTTGCCCGTGGAAATTGTGGGATGAGCAACCAGAGGGTTAAAAGATTTTGCGGTAAAATCCTAGTCTTTGCTACGGACTTGGTACAGTTTTGAAAAATGACCAGTTTACTGCCCAACACCTTCTTAAACAGAGACTAAGGGACAGAGAGATAATTGTTGTTACTGCTCATCATAATGTCGCCAAATCCCGTGTGTACCATACATGGAGTTTAGAATTTAAAAAAAAAAATATGTATTGTTAAGATAAAAAAAACCTCTGCAACAGGAATGGCTCCGTCCCAACGTAGAGGGAAATTCTTGACATTATTGGAAACCAAAGTTGCTGGAAACTTGCTTTGCCTTTCTAAGACAATCTGAGCTACGAAAATAAGCTCTAGGCCAGCTGCCTGAATGATGCTCATGCAATACATAATTCGGCAACAAAGTGATCGCTTCCAATGTTGGCGCAAAGCTTGCTTTTTTGAGGTTTGCTGTATGACATTCCCCAACTTTTCCTTGTTTTGAATAAAATATTTAAATTCTCAGACTTTTTTGGTCAATTTTCGAATTCCCTGACTTTTTCCAGTTTTCCAGGTAGCGTGGCAACTCTGTCCTAAGTTAGAACTGAAACGTTTTGACGGTAATAGACATCTGGTTTTGCTAAAGATGAACTCTTAATTCATATTTATGTTCGTGAACTTTTTAATTTAGTTTTAATGCAAGGGAAAAGTGGCGAAAATTTTACTTTGCGGGTTTTTTATAATAAATTGGAGACTCAGCTGCGAGCATTAGAGACTTTAGGGGTAACGTCTGAAAAATATGAAGCAATGTTAAATCCT